CTAATTTGAGTAGAAAATATAGGAAATATATTAATGATTTATCCCTTATAAATAGTCTTGAGATGTAAATTTTATTGACAACAACAGAGGGAATTGAAAAGCAAATGATTAAGGTACTTCTATTCAGAGAAACTTTTCTCTCATATTGTTCTTTCTACTTGATTTGATATATTTCAGATTGTGGATCAAAACCAATAATCTCTTGTATCCCACAATCTTCAACATGGCGTTCCTCAAAAGTTTTAGGGTACGCACAACTTGATTTGGTGGATTTCATCGATAGCTTTGTGATTCGTCGGCAGTTGCACTTCTGTTCGTGATAGCTTTCATCACATTTGATTATAGTCAAGGCTGGGTCGTCTTCAATAGGCACGTTCGTCCAATGTTCATGGGTACGTGGCCTCGTCAAAAGCTTCCATTTTTTGTGGTCTCGTGGACCATCTTTTTTTAATGTACAACTCATTTTTGCTAAGGGTGTGGATGGTATAGAGTAATTAAACGCAAGATAAACAAAAAGGACTAATGATAAATGAAAAAAAATTAAAGTGGGCAGCAAAGTAAATAAAATAAATAAAGCAAGAAATAATCTTCATGAATTAAATAAAACTGGTAAGTAGGAAATAAATTCGATGAAGTAAATAAAGTACGTAATGCATGAAATACAATCTAAACTATACGATGGCTCAATTTAAACTATAGTTGCACTATACTAAACAATGTGTTGAAATACAAGCAAAGCTATGTTATAAATCTCTCTAAAACACTATCCGTCACCGTACATTGTTGAAAATTATTGGGAGGAGTAGTTCAACGTTAATTATCTAGACATATATATTTTATCTCTTTTTTTATTATTTTCTAAATCCATCTACTTTTTTATATTATAAATTTTTTAAATTAAAAATCATATGTAGCATGTTTTGTATAATTATTAGTTATTCTAAAAAACTAAGTTCATATTTATGATGTGCCTAATAATTCATTTAGGCCTTAAACAAACCAAAATAAAATAAATATGATGTAATAAATTTTGATCTTTCGATTTAGATTTAATGTTTTTTTAAATTATAAATATGTCTAATAATTACTATACCTATCACATATCTTTTATTAGATATTATTATTTAGAATTACAGATATAAATGAAAATATATATTTGTTATAATATTATCTTAGTACAAGTAATTTAATGCTTTTCGGATCTTTTCTCTCATTTTTTAATTGGTTAATAAGTGTTTTTTTTTAATGGGGTGGATGGTAACCTGATCTCATAAAATTCATATAAAATTTCTTACATTTAATTTCTAACTCAAAACTAATTCATTACAACGAATTTAATATTAGAAGTGGAATACGTAACATATTACTTAGTAACTAATAGGTTCAAATGACATCTAGGACTCAGTGGAACTAAATCTAGTTAAAGGTCTTTGAGGTTTGAGGAGAGTTAGTTGAGATATTTTAGGAGTGGTTACTAGTCGGTAGTGGAGAGATGGAAAATAATTTTTCTTTCTTTATTTAAATTACTTGATTAATTAACTTATTTTATTTTTTTTAATGGTTATTACATCATATATCCTTAAAAACAACTTTCATCCTCGAAAATATTATTTTATTAACTTATTTTATTTTGTTCGTGGTCTAGAATGTGTGTTAAGTCAGCAAGTATTTACAAAGCATGATAGGTAACATATGTTATATCCTGTAAAGAAATACCGTGATAGAGGTGATTTGTATATCACTGGTTCGATTCGATCTAGCATGTCCAAAGGTCTGATGAAACATGAACTTAACCTACAGTTTCATCCGAACTTTAGTATGTCATTCATCAAGGCCACCCTCAAGCATACCTTGATCAGTTTCTTATACTCAAGCCACATGGCCGGATCATATCCTCTTATCAAAGCTAATGTGCTCAAAATAAAACGCTATGGTGACAATACTAACGCGAGAAAACCTCGAATACTTAATTGAACCTTAATTCCCAACTTTTCCACTTCCCTCAAGGTGACTTGCTTTCTTCTTTTAACATTTTTTTTTATAGGGTTACGCCTTTTGGTAACCAGTTTTATAGTGAAGATTTTCGTCAGGAGTTTTGATTTTTTATCCCTTAGACACTCCCCCTGAGAGACCTATGGGGTCGTATGCTTAGTGAACAACTCAGTTTTGACCTATCCTCGAGGCTTCATGCGTTTCCAATGACATTGTCTGATACTTGCATCCAAACCTTCATACATTTTGTGTTAACAATCTACATACATATGTCTAAGACTTCATGCGTTCCTTGCGATATAGTCTATGTCATATGGCCATGTTGCACTGCACATTGGGAGGTCCTTAGGATATCTCGAGTTCTAGTTCTAAGAGTTGTTTCTTAAGTCTTGAAGCATAACTAAGGAAAAATTCTTAACAATTACGCCCTAAACCTTATGATTCATAAAAATTTCTTTGCATGCATAAATCTTTAATAAGCATCTTGTCACTTGGTATTCATAAAAACCTTAATTTCTTATAGATTGTCTTGAGGGTAGTTACGTACTTTTCCTCTTGGTTCATATTCCAAAATTGTCTTAATCCTCTTAAGATCTTATATTACGTACTTACTTTTTATATTATAAATGAGTCTCATATAAATTTACTTAGTCTGAAAAATCTTAGAGTTCTCATAGGGGTATTTTGGTCATTTACCACCCCAAATCTTGGTGTAAATCCTCAAGCTATTCCAACGGTTTTGTTACTTTGTATAATCCTTTTAAACCATGAAATAAGGCTCCTCATCAAATTTCATACTCCAAATCAATCTTAAATCATGGTTTCTTAAATTTAAGATATCTGAAAAATCTCAAACTCCAGTCCATTTCCATACATATCAATAATATTTTAACCAGGATCGTAATGCCTCATCCAAACTGTAGCTTGATGCTACTAAATCGCCTCATAACTTTCATAACTTAGGTTTAAAACTTTCCAATTAGTGTTAAGGCAAGGGGTTTTATGAATTTCACTACTTCCAAAGCTCAACTCCCTTTAAAGGCACTTGTGTCATTCACAATATAGTGTTTCAACTTTTATGGGGTAGCTCATAATTAATTTTCTTTTGTTCATATCGATACTTTAACTTCATATTTACATACTTCGTAGTGACAAAATTTTCTTTCGACACTACGACTTTTATTATCTATAACAGACTATATAAGATATTTTCGTCTATCAAGTTTTCTTGGTCATTTTCATTTGAAACTACTTACTCGTGAGTATATGTTGGTACATTTCTTTCCATCTTTATGGTAATAACATTGTGTATTTTAACTATCTTCATGATGTCTGACTGAAACATTTACTCTTTCCTAGAAAAATTATTTTCAGGCATATACTAGTATTCAGCAACTTACTAAACTATAACTCATTCATCGTACAAACCTTGCTAAATCTATACACCATCAATACATCAATCAATATTCATATTTCATACAAGGTAAATCTTATCATAATAAAACAACATCATTTATTATCATTTGTAAAGCATACCTGACAACGATAGTATGTCTGCTGAAGAACCATGGAAGGGTTGGGTGCTTTGGCTTGATAACACTATTGATACGGCCCACCTTGTAATCGTTACAAAATTTGATCAAAATTGTTCATGTGGAGACATGTAAGTGGAGGTATCTTATACAATGTGTTTGTATAATACTAGAACAAGAAATATTTAATCTCTCTTTATAAATCAGTTAATTAAGAAGATTAATATTTCACATGGTGATCATACGCGACTCGATCTTAATCTTGGGTGAGTTATGAACTTCTGCCGATGAGGACTTGCCTTTTAATTTGCATGGGTGATAATGACATTTTTACCCGATTCAATATGTCTACTATTTTGGGGACTTAGATCAAATAAGAAGTTTGGAATATTCTCAAAGTATGATTTCATGAGTTGAACAATGAGGCTCCATCCTCTCAGCCTGAGAGGACTTGGTTTATGATTTGGTCATAAACAAATTGTTCATTATATAATAAACACTACTTAAGGAAAAGATGTAATTACGAGGGTAAAACAGTTTTTTGACCCACCCAATTGTAATTATGAACGACTCGTGAAAGATTGACTTGCTTGTAATGATTATATCAATGAACATAATTTGTCCTATAGTGAATAAGAGTGCAACTCTAGGTCTACTGGGGTGACCTATAGTTAAGTGCATGAAAATTAAAATTGATTAATTAAAAAGTTTAATTAATTAATTTTGTATCATTGGACCTTAGGTCCCTAAGATTTTCTTATAATAAACGTATATTTTTATTTGTATGAGTAATTCTCAAATATATTATGAAATCATATTATTTATACGTCAGTAGAGTAATGGTTAGACCATTTATATTCTAAAACGTATTAAATCTAAATCGGAACATTAAAAGTTTATTAAGTACTTAATAAAAATTAGTATTCTAAACTAATTGTTAGGCTAATTATAAATATTAACTTAGCTTTCTAGAATTATCCATAATTATATGAACCAACTACCCATCATTTTTAATTTCATAAATTTTAAATGCGAAACACTAAATTGATTTGAGAAATAAAATAAATAAATAAAAAATATAGATTATATATGTCGAGATATTTCTTTGCGATCATTTTGATTTAATTGATATCATCAAGATGATGGATCTGAGGTTGAATTATAACTTGAGAGCAAATTAAGACTGATACAAAGAATCATTAGTAACTACGGCCTAGGTCAACCAAGCAAGTGACCTTCCCGTTGGAGTTGGAAAATTGAATGATGTATGATGGTGCATGCCCCGTAGCCCCTACATACACCATATTATTCATGTATATATGTCATGTGCATCAGGATATTTTTTCGATATTTATGTCCCTCAAGTATACAAGCGAAGGAGGAGGCCTTCTCCAAGTTTCGATATGGTCGTCTATGGTCTAGAATGATTTTGGGCTTACTGTTAGACGAACACGACTCTCCACAATAGTATGATATTGTCCACTTTGAGTATAAGCTCTCATGGCTTTGCTTTGGGCTTCCCCAAAAGGCCTCATACTTGAGATAATATTTCTCATTTATAAACCTAGGGATCTTCCACTAAATTAATCAATGTGTGACACTCACTCCCAATAATCCTCAACAATCCTCCCCTCGAACAAAGTACACTATCAGCCTCCTCTAAGGCTTAAGGAGTTCTCGAATAACCTCCTCGTAATCGAGGCTCAACTTCTCATGATCTTCCACTAAATTAACCAATGTGGGACACTCACTCCCAATAATCCTCCCCTCGAACAAAGTACACTATCTGCCTCCTCTGAGGCTTAAGGAGTTCTCGAATAGCCTCTCCCCGTAATTGACACTCACTCCCAATAATCCTCAACAATTCTCCCCTCGAACAAAGTACACTATCAACCTCCTCTAAGGCTTATGGAGTTCTCGAATAGCCTCCTCGTAATCGAGGCTCGACTCCTCATGATCTTCCACTAATTAACCAATGTGGGACACTCACTCCCAATAATCCTCCCATCGAACAAAGTACACTATCAGCCTCCTCTGAGGCTTAAGGAGTTCTCGAATAGCATCTCCCCGTAATTGACACTTACTCCCAATAATCCTCAACAATCCTCCCCTCGAACAAAGTACACCATCAGCCTCCTCTGAGGCTTAAGGAGTTCTCGAATAGCCTCTCCCCGTAATCGAGGCTTGACTCCTCATGATCTTCCACCAAATTAACCAATGTGGGACACACACTCCCAATAATCCTCCCCTCGAACAAAGTGAGACTCACAATTCTTTGTTCGATATTTGAGGGTTAAGTTTTTTAGGGCATGACTCTAATACCAATTGTTAGACAAACACGACTCTCCACAATGGTATGATATCGTCCGCTTTGAGCATAAGCTTTCATGGTTTTGCTTTGGGCTTCCCCAAAATGCCTCACACTAATGGAGATAATATTTCTCATTTATAAACCCATGATCTTCCACTAAATAAATCAATGTTGGACACTCACTCCCAATAATCCTCAACACTTACCAATGCCCCATAACTTATGTAATTTTGATGGATTAGATATTTAAAGGGGTTTTTAGATTTTTCTTACACCAAAAAAAAAAAAAAAAAAAAAAAAAA